AGGGTGGCACCGCCGTCCTTTTTAGATCAGCTCCTCCGCCCTCCTAAGTTAAAAATCGTTACGGGACATCTGCGTCTCCGATGATGGATTCGGGCGATAATCTTTCAGATTACGAAACTTTCGCCCTAAAATAAAAATAAACGCCTCAATTTGGAGGGTCCGACGGCCTCGGGAGGGAGAAGGTTGTCGATTTAGCAAATTAGACGGCGCGTCGCCGAATAGCCAATTTGGATCCTATTTCTTCCTTGGAAAGGTCCGATGAGGAATTAATTTCGGGATTGAACAGAGGTAGCAAATTGGAGGTTTAATAGATCTTGCCGATTAAAAAAATAACCGCAAAACTATCGGACTACATGTCGCATTTCGTTGCTTGGAATGTTGAAATTAAAGTGTGTTGGTCAAATGATTTATTTTTTACTATTAAATTAGGTAAACGCGCTGTTTATTAGAGGAACTCTATGTATAGTTTCAACAAGGAAGTAGATAAGCATAGACGGTTCCAGAGCAGAAATACTGACATAACCTTAAACCTGAAAACCACTAGGACTCGATTTTGAGTTTGGATTTATCTAGCGTTAGTAAATTTTAATATTGCAAAAAAATCCCCCGGAAAGTAGCTAAGCAAAGCCGGTTCCAGAGCAACCACCTTGGCATAACCTCAAACCTTTCGCCCAACGGAAAGGAATGAATAACTTGTTTTTATTTCGTACATTTTCTACATAATTTTGAGGTTGGACTTAGCAAGCATTGCTTGTTTTTAATAATTCGAGTCGATTTTCATATTATCCTAGGTCCACAATAAATGTAGAAAAGAGGTTTGCCAGATAAGCGAAACTGCTTTCAGAGAATAAATCTGTCAAAAAACCGCACGAGTCTAGTAGGCTGGATTTAGGGCGATTTTCGTTAAAAAATCTTTCCTGACCTTTTTAACATGAATATCATTTCCATTAATTTGGCGCAGTTGTAAAAGTTGGAATTATGGTTACTGCCAGCAATACACAAATTGATATCGTCGTCAAATATTTTTAAGATGATTTTATTAATTTCCAAAATTTGAATGAATCTATCTACCTGTGATTAAAAAAATAACAAAATTTGGCTGAATTTTGAGTTTTTCAATCTAAGGCAGAGCACGTGGAATGTGGGCCATGAATAGAACTACTTAATATTTTTGGTGACGTACCAAAATAAAAACAATATTTAGAAAAAACCGACAGATCAAAGTATATGATCGACAAAAATGTATCAAAATGTATTTGCATCATCCTGGAAGCGACCAGAAAAATCCTGCCTGGAGGAACCTGCGGCACGTTTTTAATACCGACGAGAGTGGGGGCAACATACCCCTATCCCTGCCACCCACCTTCAGCTCCACACAACAACGCGGTACATTTTTAAAACTGGTTTCGTCGCTGCAGAAAATAAAATCTAGTCGCTTAACCCAGATCCGCGCAAAGATAAAAGTAAATTAAAAACGGTTTCAAATTTGGCGGGCAAATTTAATTTTCGACGCCCGTTATCTTTTTAATGAAACGTCATCGCCGTTCGGCATTTTAAATCGCTTTTTTCGCAGGGACCCGTGGAAGGAGGGGATTTCATTCACAGATAAGGCCGCAAGTATTTTAATCGATAATGTTTGTTTAAGTGACGCTCTTTTCCTTTCTTTATAATGTAAAATTTGCAATTAGGACGATTTTCGGAATTAATATTAAAAGAAAATAAAAAATTAAAACTTTACATTGGGAACCTTGTAAAAAAGAAGAAAAAACTAAGAAATGCTCAGAAAATTTTTCATTGCGTAGTAAAATTTAGTAGAAGTCTTTTAAGCACCAAAGGTTATTTTTTGATGTTTAATAATGAAAAAAAAAAACAGTGGTTTACACAGAACGATTTTCAAAAAAGCAAAAAGTACGCGCAGGTGTTCTCCAATAATAACGTTATGCACGCCGCTGGACTAAATAATTTTAATCTGTTAGGACGAAATCAAGTGTATCAAGACATCAAATAACATTTCCCAATTTCAACAGAATCGAAACACTCTGTAGATAAAATTTTATTAGCCCTAAAATAGCTGCATAGTTTCACCGATGTTTACAAAAATTTAATTTAATTTATTTATTTAATTTTTAAAATTTATGGAAGACATAGACTAAACAGTGTGTCCAGGTAATATATCTGTTATATTCTATGCTTTAAAGAAAAGAAACAATTTAAAAATATACAGGGCGATTCATAAATATGTTTGGAAAACAAAATTATATTATATATACTGAGCGTTATTGTTAGCGCCCTGTTTAATACGCTATAATATACAGGGTTTTTATTTGAATTTTTCACGAATAAAAACATTTTTGTTTTGACTCACCCTGTATAAACGATTCGGACTAACTTGAAGACAAGTATACAACATTTTTTGGGCATAATAAAATGACAGCTGTCGGAAATTTCAAAAATATCAAGTGTCAAACACAGGGGTTAACAACCGTGTATTGGGTGATTGAGTATAAAATGAAATAATATATACATGGCGTTCCATTTTAAAAAATGTTGTGAACAAAATAGCAAAATTTAGGGTTTGTAAAATAAATAGGGTGGATGTAAATTAAAATAAATTATAAACTCAATCAAATATGTAGTCATTTAGATACGAATTTTGTATTTTGTGTTTTTATAGTCATTATGAATAATGTCCAAGTACTTCTTATCTTATTAGGGTTCAATTATAGTTTTCACGAGAAAGCTGCCAGCTGGAAAATAGTTTATTTAGTTATACAAGGTTATACAGGTCTGAGACAGGGGCAAGAGTCAGTCCTTCGTTAGTTGATTAGGGGCCAAATACTTTGCCTAATAAGTTAGTAATTAAATAAATGTTTTTATCACTCCTTTGATTTGATTTTAAATATTCTGAATTCGTAGTTAAAATGTTGTAAACCACTGCATATTTCTATACACATATAATAATTTGTAAATAAAATAAAAGTTTATATCTTGTGCGTTTACAGAGAAAAAAACATATTCGATCAATTAAGCACATCAATTAATATAAGATAATTAACTATATATTAATAAATGAGAAGGAAAACGAACCTACAAAATTCCGTTTTGTTTTTTTAGACAAGTAGAGAATGTAAAAGTCTGGTTTCCTAGATATTTATCAATCATCCTGTATATTTAAAAATAAGTTTAAATTGTTTGTCTTAGATATATCCATAGCTTTTGTATTTAGCTTTTTTCTAAAACAAATAGCAAACGAGATACATAAGTTTCACACTCTAATTGGATACACCGTATATTAAATTGCATTTAAAAAAAAAATCGCGACGCGACGAGGTTAATTGGGATCAAAAATTCATAACGACGCGCTGCCCGGCGAAACTCAGGGCTTAATTAAACGTATCGACTGGGGAGGGGGTCGGAAAACGTGGAGCTATAAAACGAAAACATTTATTTAATTCCGCCGGACGGCGAATTTCCCGGGAGAGACCTGGTGGGGAGGGGGCAACATTCGTTCGAACGGTCCCCCCACCTCGCGCCCCGTATCGGCGCAATAGCCCGCCCTTGCCTTCGCATGATAAAGTCTGTTTTTTGAGGTTATGTTCTGAACGTCCCGCATGGGGCCCCGGCTGGTGGCCGCAGCACTCCCTACAAGCATGGTGGCCCCCACGGGACATTGAGGGGGTCGACTGTGTTTTGAGGTTATGTTCGTCCAAACCCCCTTTATGTATCTACCCGTGCTGTTTATTTTTATCAAAATTTCTAAAAACCAATCCAAATGTAATTACAAAAACGAAAAAACAGCCATAATATTTTTGGAAGACCATGAATTCTAGCAGTCGAGGAAAGTGAAGACAAAAAATATTAAGAAACTGTCGGTCTTCCATTGTTCTTAATTATTTTAATTAATAATTTGTCCATACATTTTTAAGTGAAGCCATTATGAAGCAAATCCCTTATAATGTTGCTTAATTCATCATCTAGTGATGCTTTTTCACTGCATATGGTAATTGCTCTTTTGCAGAGAGTTTAGATGATTCCCAGTTTGGTTCCTTCAGACGGTTTACGCTCGAAATTTAAATTAATATTTAAATTCGCAAGTTGATTGAAGGACATCATCTTAAGTTTTTTTAAAATATCTCCCAAATGCCTGGAGTTCATAGTAAATGAAGGAATTTTATTAAATATTTCTATAAATATGAATTCTGAAGTTTTATTAAATCCGTATTGTTAGCAACAGGTTTTATTCGTATATCTGCAGTATTTATTATAACTTTAAAAGAAGTAGGATCATGTCTTTGCTATTTAAAAAATATCTAATATTGCCAACAAGTGACCTAATGTGGGCAGCTTCAAATTCAACAAGAATTTATACGGGCGTAAGGAAAATTGAAGTATAAAATGAATTACAAACTTACCCTATTTTTTATCTTAGAATTGATATCTGAATAAAAATATAGGGTGGTCCATTTGAAAATCTTGAGATTTTGTGGAGTATTTAGATTATTCTTAAAACCGTTTATTAAAAAACTGCTTAGTCGAAATTGCTGACGTTTCGCCAATCATCCTTGACTGAAACAGTTTCAGTCAAGCTCTGAAGAAGCCAACAGGATGATTGGCGAAACGTCAGCCATTTCGACTAAGCAAAAACTGACGCAGGAGGAATCCGGAAGTTACCCTACCTTCGTAACTATTAATATGTCACAAACATTTAGTCTAAAATCTTCAATGTCATTAATACCATGCGTTTCCTGGAGTACAATAACTTCAAAACCGATAGCGGAGAGTTCGGGAAGTGCAACCGGCTCATCGTAGTGGCAGTTTAAGCCACACTTAATAAAATGAATCAGATTAGCAGATTGATTTTTAAATCCAAAAAGAAGGAAATAGTAACATACCTAACCTTAACGTTCTTCTAAAAAGTTCAACTTCAGTTACTCTTTTCTTGCGTATTTTTCGTTTTAGTTTTATTTATTTTTACACAAGTTCCTACGTGATTGTTCCAGGCTGCGGGTGTTTGGTCTTTTCGTCGACGTACGGCAAGGACAGAGGCACTTTCCACAGCCCGGACTATCCGAAAGCTTATTCGCCGGGCATCGACTGCCTGTTGTACAGCTTCGTCGCCGGACCGGAACAGATCATCGAGCTGACATTTGTCGACTTCGACGTCCACAAGGGGCAATCGGAGTGAGTGCAATATTTTTAGCTTCGTTCTGAACTCAAATCGTAAACAACTACTGACCACTGGTTATATTTGGCACTTTTTTTTTTGATATTTGATTTGATATTTGATAGTTAATATTTTTCGTCCGGTCTCTCCAATGTATTCTTTGTCGCATATGCATGGAATGCTGTAAACTCCTGGCATCTCAAATGGAATTTTGTCTTTGACTGACTAAAGATGTTGAGAGATTTTTGGACCAGTGGTAAATTTGGTTTTGACATTATATTTCTTTAGAAATTTTGATATGTGGTCAGTGATGTTTTGAATGTAAGGAAGAACCACAGTGGCAAGGGTAGGTTTGCTTTCGGCCTCATTGCTATTGGAAGGTTGTGGTGAAGTGTATTTTTTGATGGAACGCTTAATATCTTTAATGTGGAAATTATTAGAGAGACATACAGTCAATTGTTGCAATGATCTGCTTCTATAGGTTCGTTATTCTTAAAAAAAAGGAACCTGCGCGCCAATGGATTTTTCACGGACCTCTTCGGTCCTCTTATAATGTCATCAACAATTTCTTTATCATTTTTAATTCGACTTGTCGCTCTTTCGGAAAAGTAGACGTCGCAAAAATGCCAAGCGCTTTCATTAAATAATAAGAATCTTCCTCCCGAAAGCTACAGATCGGGGGGTAAATTAAAAACGATGGTCGGGACGCGAGAGGAAATGAAAATTTATGTCTTCTCCGGCATGCGACTTTCGATTTTAATTCCGATGTTTATTCCAATATTTATCATCTCGAAAGTATGTTTTTGTAGCTTCGGAAGATTTACAATGGTTTGGCTCATATTTCATCTGAAAATATCTTTCGTAAAAAAAATATTTAGAAACTATTTGAAAAAATATTCAAAATATTGTCAAAAAAAACTTCTAATTATTGAAAAAGTTGAACAAAATAAACAATTCTCAAAAATATAAAAAAAAATTAGACCAACTCCTTTACTCATATTAATTCTTACGTTTTTCCATACATATACTGCAAATTATCTGTTTTACACTATCGTCAATACACTCGCAACATTTTACCTGGACTTGCCATCTTTTTTTTATTGCACAAATAACATCGTCCAGGTTCTTCAGGATTTCATGGGGCTCTTCCGATTCTGGAAACATTTCTAGCACATACGATTTGATACTGTTGGGAATTCTTGGTTCTCTATTAAATCTTCTTATGACATTTTTCCTAATCAATGACTCTCCTAAGTCCAAAAGAAATTTTCTTCTGCTGTCTTTGCTTTTTGCTATTTCGTCTGGAAATTTTGCACTCCATAAAATAAATGCATTCAATGCCGCGACATCTAATAGCCGTCCAAAAATTGCCATCGGTCATCTATTACTGAAAATTCTTTTACCTTTTTATCGGTAGTGTCTACAGTATTATGTCAGGCTTGTACTTCACATTTTCTCCTGCAACGGAATCATCATGATGCCCCGTAGTCAACATAACATGATATTTACTGTATTGCGCATGATCGTGACTAATCAAAATGAGTATCTTGGCATTCCACAAGTGTACCCCATATTTTTTTGATGCACGTCATAATTAAAATATACGGAAAATGACAATAAACAAAATTGCGGAAGCCTTGTGTAAAGATATAAGAAAAATTGAGTTGTTGGGGTACATTTGTAACCCACAGGGTACAACGAAGGTTAAAAAAGGTTATTATCTACAGAATGCAACTTTAAATCTGTCATTAAGGTGAGAAAATTTGCCACCTTTCTTGAATCTAAAATTCCTTATTCCTATAGACTCCCTAAGATTCACAAAGCAGGATTACCCCTTCGTCCTATTGTCAACACCATTGACTCTCCACCATATTCTCTAGCACAATATCTCGCTTCTATATTGGAACCCTTTACATAGAAAACTCATAGTTTCCATTCCGTTCATTCAGTACATCCACAGGATATTCTGGTTACAAAAGTCCCCATTCCTGAAACTCTCAACATTATTTGAGATATATCAAAATCGTAGACCAATACCTTAACGCATTGGAACATCATCTTCCGGCCAACCATCATCGGTTATCAACTCTCTTGATTACAGAACCCAGAATTCAAACACCTTACCTCTGCTCTTCTGTCTAATAATTTCCAAAATATAAATATTAAGCTTTCCATCACAAACTATACTTCACCACAACCTGCCAACGACAATGAGTCCAAAAGCATCCCTATGCTAGCCAGTTTTACCACCTGTCCAAAAATCTCTCAACATCTTCGATAGGTCAAAAACAGAATTCCGTGTGAAATACCAGCAGTTTACAGTGTTCCATGCATATGCGGCGAAGAATACATTTTTAGAGATCGGACGAAATATATCACCTAGGCTCAAAGAACATGAAAGAATCTGGGTGCCAGTTGCTGTTAAGCTCTGAAGAAACCAATAGAATGATCAAAGTTTTAAGCAAAACAATCCGCACAAGTTATAGAAGACACAGTGAGAGAGCTTTGAAGCAGGTTCTTGTAAGAGCTGACTGTGTCTCTAATGACCTCTTTATTACAAAAACGGAATTAAGGCGCATTTAGTCGCACCCATTGTTGTTGTGTTTGAAAATCATATGATTTGGAGTGCCACAAGGCTCTGCTTTGGGACCATTGCTGTCCATCATTAATTTGATGGCAAAGCCAGACATCTAGCATAGTTGAAAATTAAGCAACCGTTCGGTGACATAGCATTCCAGATATATAACCCTCTCAAAAAAATAAGTTGTAATCTTCGATACCACTTACATACGTAATCAAAACTCTGTCAACATCAACCGACAACGAAATATTTGAAAAACAAAAAATATTATGAAATTTCCATGTCAAGGTGACAGCCCGGAAGTTTCGAAAATGGATCGAGGGCTCACGTCGATCTCCCCCATTAACCGTGTTACGGGGCGAAAAAAATGTTTTATTCAAAACCCGTTTCGCAGTAGTCGACACAGAAGAAAATCGGAAATGTTCTTGCACCGGAAATTATTGTTTTTTCCTTCCCAGCGGCGGATACGGCAATGCGTTCGAAGCGCTCGATGTTTCGCGCTTCTCTTTTCCTCATCGCCCAGCGAAGCTGGACTGGACTACCTAGATATTCTGTCTAGTTAGTACTGATTCTGACCAAGTTTGACATGGTCTTGGTTTTATTTACTTCGATAGAGTTAACTCGCTACGGAATTGGCCACCCAGATCACCCGATTTGTAGAGATTGCATTTTCCAGCTCTAAATCATATTTCTCAAGGAGGGTATTAAAATATTTCAGGAACAATTATGATTAAATTAACAAATAGTATGTTTGTATAGGAGATTGTAAAAAAAATACTAAAAAAAAAATCTACAGACAAGTAAGAGAAAACACACTGTCACTAAAATTTTTTAGAACCTTTCCGACTCCAACCGGACTTAATAATATACTATTTTTGCAGTAAAATTCTTAAACCTTTTTATTTACCATATCCTCATAACTTGTGATAATAATTTATAATGATTTTTACTCTCTCCTGTGTGGTACTTTATATGCAACCAGCTTTGCTCGAACATTTATACCTCGCCCGTGTTTATTTTTCAGTCGAAGCGGAGATAAACGGGTCTGAGAAAACCCCGATAGCGATTTCCCCCCGATCCCTCCTCCGCACCCGAAACTTACGCCCGAAACTTAATAAATTACCCGAAAGTTTCCGCTGAAAATATTAAGAAAAGGCCCCGTAAAAGTAAACAGCGGCCGTTGCCGAAGTAATAACGCGGATCGAACTTCAAAGAGTTCCCCCCTTCCCCCAAACCTCGCGCGCCGCCAAAATGGCCGAATAAAACTCTCGTAAAACGCGTCCGGTACACGACTTCCGGGTGGAAGTTTTGCCAGGGTAAACACTTTCCCGGGAAGAAATATACGCGCCCTCGTCGTCGACGATATAATACTCTCCCCCCCCCCCCCCCAGGATATCGTCCGACATTTGCATAGTAAATAATTAGCACGGACCCCGAAGATAATCCTTGGGATAACAAAGATGTCTAATGCTAATCCTCGCGCCAAGTATAACGAATTTGTCTCTCAGACGACGACGTAGGTGACGTACGTCCGTTAACGTTTTTATTTTATTTGATTAACGCGTTTGTTTGGCCCCTGTAACGCAGGCAATTTGGTCGGTTGGCTAGCTAGAAATATGGACAAAGCATGAAAAAAGCTTATAATTGTTATTTCATTTATTTATTTGTTAAACAATATAGAATTAATTTTATGATAAAATAAAACGCGCGATAGCGTTGTCTCTTCACTAGCAGTGGAAGTTTGAGGGAATTGGAAAGTATGAACAAAAAAAAAGAAAAAAGTTTATTCTTACTATTTCATGTATTTGTTATTACTATTTATTAATTTATTTGTATGACAATAATCTTTTTTATGCGTTGTTGACGCGGTTTGTGTTGTCTTTTTGCAAAGAAGGTAGTTAAGGGGAACTAGGATGTACGGACAAAGCAAGAATAAGGTATATTATTATTATCAAAGATGTTAGGCTTTCACGGCCAGAAACTACATTACTAAATATTTCCGGGCTTTTGAGCCGTGGTCCCGAGATTAAACTCGACGTTTCGTCTACAACTGCGGTAGACATTTTCAAGAGCGGCGATGCGGTAACGGTCGAAGTGTTCTTCCGTACTGCTCTCCGATGACTGGTTGGTCGACTGGAAGATCTGCCTTATTTAAGCGCGCTGTAGTGGGCGTGACCTCGGTGGCGGGCTTGGGTTGAGCTTGTCTGGGTAAACACGTTGTTTTGTTGATGACCTGAGTCCATGTTTTACTGATATTGAGACCTTCTGCTTTTCTATTGAAATTATTCTGATGTTTTTGAATTTCAATAGCTTCTCTGAAAAGACGTGGATAAAAATGTGGTGTTTTGTCCAGTACCTGCGTGTCTTTGAACATGATACGATGGTCACCTTTGTAAAAAGCATGTTCTGCCACTGCTGATTTTTCCGTGTGTCCAA